AACCCGAATTAGAGACCTTGATGTGTTCAAAGACAGCATGCATGCATGCCTTGACTTTTTTTTTCTATACTAATAACAATATAGAAATGGGTATAATACTAAAAGAAGTTGGTAATTTAGATGAAGATTCATGGTCACTGTAGGTTATTTTAATTAATCTGCAAGCTAGTGGTTAGCAGATTGTTGGATTGTAACAATATGCCCTATGGATTATTTCAATACGCGTCTATTTGTTGCAAATTGTATATTGTTACAACCTCCAAGATGGAATTCACAATATCAAAGCTAAAACAAACATGACCTAAAAGTCTCAAAACCGTCTAATATAGAAGCGTATATAGAGTGTACTTTGGATTTTTGTTATTTTTTATTAGTTGATACGTATAAAGGTAATGTTGAAAAAAGAATTGTTGGAGAGTGGAGACAATAATCAATGTCAGAGGTCTCGTCTACTTCTCGAAGGAGAGGGGTATTTGAATAGAACCTGTACTTTTCAACAAAAAAAATACACATCATCTCGTCTACTTCTCGAAGGAGGGGTATTTGAATAGAACCTGTACTTTTCAACAAAAAAAAATACACATCATTCACAAAAAGATTACTTGATGGCCTTATCTTGCTACTGTTTTGTTTTTTAGGAGAGTGGTATGTCAAAAAAACAGTTGAAGAATGGCCTTGAGAAGATAGAGATGATTATAAATGATGCATGCCAGATTTTGGAACACCTGAACTTGCCAAGCGTAGCTAATTCTAATGGGAGACAAAATTTTCCTGCTAATTCATGTAGTGCAGTCACTACTGGAGCTCCTCCGCTAAAAGTATTCGGTCGAGATAAGGAACGTGACAAGGTCATAGCAATGCTTCATAAGAAAGAATGCGATGGTCAACAAAAGAGCAAGAGTGGTATTCCTTATTCTGTACTTGGCATCCATGGCATCGCCGGGTCTGGGAAATCAACTCTTGCACAAGTTGTGTATGCCCATGAGAAAAAGGACAAGCAAGAGAACAAAGTCGGCCATTTTGACCTTGTTATGTGGGTCCATGTTTCTCAGAAATTTGATTTGGATGTGATTTTTAGGGAGTTGATGGAGGGCGCTACAGGGAGTCCATGCCCTACATTCAATAGTCGCAACGCCCTGCAAGAAAAACTGGAGGAGAAACTGCATGGAAAACGGTTTTTCTTGGTACTAGATGATGTCTGGTACAATAATAGGGATGCAAGGAAGCAAGAAGAACTGCAACAAATACTTTCTCCCCTCAAAGTTGGCAAAACAGGAAGCAAGATCCTGGTGACTAGTCGAAGCAGAGATGCATTATTGGCTCTGGGTTCTGTAGAAGAGAGATGTATTCCAATACCTGATCTGGATGATGAAGCATTCTTTGAGATGTTCATGCACTATGCACTTGGAGATGCAACGATAGAGGATGACCATGATAGAGCAAAACTCGAAATGCTTGGAGAGGACATTGCAAAAAAGCTGAAGCGGTCACCTTTGGCAGCCAGAACCGTGGGTGCACAACTATGTCTAAGACCCAATGTTGAGTTTTGGAGAAGAACAAAAGACAGGGCCCTGTTGAATGACACCATGGGAGCTCTGTGGTGGAGCTACCAGCATCTTGATGAGCAGGTCAGGCGTTGCTTCGCTTATTGCAGTATCTTCCCAAGAAGACGCCGTTTGAAACGCAAGGAGTTAGTTGAGCTCTGGATGGCGGAAGGGTTTATAAAGACAAGTAATGATGAAGAGGAACTGGATGGTATTGGTCAGGAGTACTTCGATGAATTATTGTCGGCCTCATTTCTGCAACTAGGAGAGAGACAAGCAGAATATGAATGTGAGGTTGATTACTTTACTATTCATGACCTGCTGCGTGATATAGCAGAAGAGGCTGCCAGAGGAGATTGCTTCAGAATCGAGAAAGATTTCACAGGAGAAGTTCCCCCAGATGTTCGTCATCTATTTGTTGGGAGTCCTGATATAAAGATGGTTGCCAACAAGATTTCTGAATTGCAGAATCTACGCACTCTAATATTTGATGATTGCTTACCACCTGATGATGAAGTCTTTCAGGGAACGCTCAGGAGGTTCCGAAAATTGCGGGTGCTGATTTTACGTTTCCGTATAGATGGTTGTGGTCACACCTTCTCAGTCCCGGAATGTATTGGTCAGCTAAAGCATCTACGGTATCTTCGTTTGGATAGGTTTTGGGGCAGCACGCTAATTTTACCAAGTAGTATTACCAAGCTTTACCACATTCAGCTGTTAAATGTTTCTGATTTCGATGATGTGGTTTTTTCTGGTGGTAAAAATATGCATCACCTTGTCAACTTGCGGTGTGTAAGCAGCCGTGTGGATCTGGATATTCCAAATATTGGCAGGCTTAAACGGCTCCAAGTGTTATTAAACTTCAGTGTAATGAAGAAACAGGGGTTCGAGCTACGACAACTGAAGGACCTAAACAAACTTGAAGGCAGACTACAGATCAGTAATCTTGAGAACGTTGAAAGCAAGGAGGAGGCTGTTCAAGCTAGTCTTGCAGACAAGGAACGGCTGACAACGCTTGAACTATGCTGGGGGCACGATACGAGTTGCAGTCCTGAAGAAGTTGAAGCAGAGGTGCTTGAGGGTCTTTGCCCCTCAAAGTATGTTGAAAGGCTAGAAATTACGAACTACCACGGCTTGACGTACCCAAACTGGATGGTGGGTAAGCAGAATGGCGGACCAAAGAGGTTGCATTATCTTTGTCTCGACAGGTGCACTCGACTTGAACCGGCTCCTGAACTTTTTGAGGTCTTCGTCCATCTTCGTTGCTTTAAGCTTTGGGGCAGCAATTGGCCCTCGTTGCCCGATAATATAGGGCAACTGACGTCACTCCAGGTACTGGATCTATTGCGTTGTCCGAACATTCGTTCCCTTCCAGCACTGCCCCGGTCCCTTGAGCTTTTTTGTCTCACGTTCTGCAACGAGGAGTTCATGTGGTCATGCGAAACAGTTGAGGATCCAAACTGGCAAAAGATCCAGCACATTCCCGAGAAAGTTATCACTCATGATTTTTAAGGCTCTCTCCCAAGTCTGCAAATCCCTTTGACTGTGCCACGTTTTCTCCTTATTTTTGTGTTAAGGTTACTACTGTACTGTGTAGCCTCCGTAATTAAGATTCAGCTAATGTTTACTACTGTGCCAAGTTGGAGGTATAGTTGGGGCCAAATGTTTGATTTGGCATGCGTATGATAAACATACAACCAGAATTCTGGACAGATTTGAGATTTATTGCTGTAATCATTTTATTTGAAAACGACATTATGTGTTTGTGAGATCTATTTATGTTGTATATTACCATGGGATTTGAAATCATGATAAACGAATTGAGCGAGCCATTGTTTATATTTTGGTAATGTTACATTGTCTCTACAACTTAGAGGGTTGCAAAACAATACATTGCCCACAAGTGGAGGAGTTACATGCAAAGTGCATCTGATGCCAATAGGATTATTTCCACTCTCACGGAACAGCAGCAGCAGCACTATGATTGATGCAGGAAGGAGGTTGCTGCTGGTGGCTAGCGCGACAACGCCTTCTGACTGATCTGCAGCGCTGTTCGTCCTGCCTTGCGATGTGCGCAGCCGAGGCCAACGATCGTCACTTCACTCTAAAAAAACCAGTCCGTGGTAATTTTGCCCGTCCGCGCCGCGGCCACCAGCGCCGAACCAGCCGCTCCCCGTCGCCCGACCCGCACCCACACATCGGCATCGCAGATGGACGCCGTGGCCCACCCCGCCAGCGCGGCCGTCCGCGGCCCACAAGCGCATGTCGGCCGTGGTCGAGTGTCTGCTCGGTTTTATGCAGGCAAGGAAAAGATGTTTGTGTTGGAATGGCGATCCAGCCCTCATGCCAATTACTCGCTCCTGGATTTAAGTAGTGTTTAGTTTCTAAAATTTTGCAAAATTTTTCAAGATTTCTCATCACATCGAATATTTGAACGCATGCATGAAGCATTAAATATAAATAAAAAATAAAACTAATTACACAGTTTAGACGAAATTCACGAGACGAATCTTTTAAGTCTAATTAGACTATGATTGGACACTAATTGTCAAATAACAACGAAAGTGCTACAGTACCATTTTCAAAAAAAAAATCGCCAACTAAACAAGGCCTTAGTCACTTGTAATCATTAGGACTAGCAGTCTGTCTAGATTCTCTCATGTCTAAAGTTTGGTTAAGTAAAATCGAGAACTAAAATTTCAGACCACTTTAGTTCACTTATAGATGGTCAAAAATTTCATGAGATAGTCTAAACTTTATAAACACTTTAACCTCCTGCTCAAAGCCTCAAGAGCTAGAGTGGTATAAAGTTTAGTGGCTAAACTTTAGACCGTGGGATTTAACACAGTGCCTAGGTTCTTGCTCGATTGTTGTAACGGAAGCAACATGTTGTGCGGTAAATCAAATGCTACATATAATATGATTTAATAGAGGTGTGTTATTATGATATCTAGTTCTATTATGACCTGATGTAGAATTCTACTAGTACTAGGAATAAGACTCATCTTGCATGTACGAGAGCCTTGGAGGAGACTACATAAATAAGGGGTAGAGCTCATATGCATCAACTAACGTGTCACGGCACCGTCTTGCCCACCTCCACCGCCTTGTCACGCCCCCCAACCCCCTTCTAAGTCCGTCGGAGATTAATCCCCAACCCCAACCCCAAACCCTAAACCCACCCCCTCTCCCCCCTCTCCGGCGGGGTACGAGCGGCACGGGCGCGCAATATAGTTTGCCAAGAGTAAATGCTTCTCAAAAACCCTAACACAAACGCTAAGAAAATAGAATCCATCCCAAAAAGGTCACTTAATTCCCATGGGTAAAAAAACAAAAGAAAGATTTTGAAGAAAGAAATTAGATGAGTGAAAAAGAGGATTAATGCCTGATTTGTGATTGGTACTAAAAAATAATTTATCCATCAAAATGGAAAAAGTTTTGATTCCCCATCCAATGTCATAAACCTCCACTTGCCGACTTGCCCATGGCGTCCGTCCCACCCCTCCCAGCGGCGCTCGCCCCATATCGCCCCTCCGACGCCGCCGCCCTTCTCTTCCGCTCCCACTCCTTCTCGCCCTTCTCTTCGGCTACCCGGCCGCGCAGGTTCCCGGCGGTTGCGTCGGCGCGCGAGATGCCGTGGCCGCACGTGCTGACGGTGGCCGGCTCCGACTCCGGCGCCGGCGCGGGCATCCAGGCCGACATCAAGGCGTGCGCGGCCCTAGGAGCCTACTGCTCCTCCGTCATCACTGCCGTCACCGCGCAGAACACCGTCGGCGTCCAGGCACGTTATGCCCCGATTCCCCGCTCTTCTTTTGCTACTAGTCCGCTTTCTTTCGCCACGATTCGACCGAGAACAGGGGATGGATGATCCGGTGGTGCTGTAGGGGGTCCATGCTGTGCCGGAGGAGTTCGTGGGGGAGCAGCTCAGGTCGGTTCTCTCGGACATGTCGGTGGACGTGGTGAGCTTCTTTGCCCTTCGGCATTCAGTAACGATGCCATGGTATGTCTTATTAGGGGTTAGTTCTTCCAAATCTTAACGCACGCAGTGCCCCTGATGTGCGTGCTATAAACAGAGATCTTTTTGTTTGGGACAGACTATTCTTGCTATGATTACAAAGCTACTATGCTTGGCAAAGTCATTCATTTTTTTTTTTGATAAAGGAAACATTTATTAAATTCTCAAAGCATTACATCGAGATGATGGAAGGCCTTGAAAAAGTACTTGTGACCTCTGCCTAACAAGAAGCGCACAGCCTTGAAAAAGTGATTCATGGAAGGAGTTTGATTATTTCTATTAGTTAGTTTATTTCACGTCAGTTTAAGTGTTAGGGCGTTAACTTCCCATGAAATTGGATTGTCTTACTGTGAAATCGGCAGCTTAGGTGCGAACATATATTTCATTTCCTTTAAGGTGATCGAACTTTGTTCCCATTTCTCACTGCCAAGGGCTATCACCGCAGTTTATAGCATATAGTTACCAACAGTATATAATGTTTGAATTTACTGGAATCATGGTTTCAAAGGTGACAAAGCAAACCAAGTGGAGCTGGGTCTGCCTGGACACTTAGGTGACGTCTTCAAAACAGAGCCTAGAATCCTAGGGCGTATTTAGTTTGCGCCCTCGCCTGGGAGCCGCAGCGAGGCAAGCAGATCCGACCCCATGAGCGCCTGGTGTTGCTGCCTGGGCCAGGCGCGTTTTCCAGGGTGCGAAGCAAACAGCCCCCTAATCCTTCATCCTTGTTAGATGCATTGCTCTGCCTAAAGAATGATATTTGATTGGCTTAGTTATGTTTGTATCCCAAAAGACTTGTTGATTCTCTGAATGTGCTTTTGTAGAAGTTGTCATATGAAATTGGAGTTAGGTGATAGTTTGTTATGATTTAATCTATTTGATTTGTATCCTATTTTCACTTGGAACTCATGCTATGTGTCTTCTGTTCTTGATTTTGTTAGGTGAAAACAGGGATGCTCCCTTCAGCTGGAGTTGTTAAAGTTCTCTGCGAGAGTCTTAGGAAGTTTCCAGTCAAAGGTAAGTTTATGATGAAAGCATACAATGCCAACTCAGTTATTTACTTGCTATGACTTATGCTTCTGAAGGCAGCTCTAGTGGTGGATCCGGTCATGGTGTCCACCAGTGGTGATACTCTTTCAGGACCATCTACTCTCGCTACATATAGGTACAGGATCAATATTTGTTTTGTTCCGTATGCATTTATGAGTTCTTGTTGGAATGTTATTGCTGTTACATCCTCAATACCGTAGTACTTATGGACATGCTCTTGCAATTGTTATGAGCAGGGATGAACTGTTTTCTATGGCTGATATAGTCACTCCAAATGTGAAAGAAGCATCTAAGTTACTTGGGGATATATCATTGCAGACAATTTCTGACATGCGCAATGCAGCTGAATCCATTTACAAACTTGGTCCAAAGTATGTGTTCTCTATTTCTGTAAATTTGTTCTGTTTACCTTATTTGATCTCTTACCCTTACCCTACATGTGCGCTATCACGTTCTTGTCATCTGATGTTACATCTGTATGGGGGAATGTCAGCCTAACCTCCCAATGTTCTATATGAATCTTTTAAGTATATTGTTTGAAGCAAACTTGCTACCATAGTTGTAATAAGCTTGGAATCACGGGGAGCTTGCATCTGTACAACAATTTAAGCTACAGTTTCCATCTATACCATGAAGCTAGTAAATGACATGTGGGGTCTGGTCCTACATGTCATTGTCATTGACACAGGCTAATGGTATAAATGAAAAGGGCACGTTAAGTGGTGATATGGATGAAATCATTCTTGAATAGTATACATAATTTCCCTCTGTTCCAGATTTCCAGCTTTAGGAGCAAACTATACATGGTTCTTGTTGATTTATCATGCCTGAATATACAAAGTTCTATTAGTTCCAGCTTGAGGAGCTAATGGCCCGTACCATTTAAACCAGTCACAAGTTTCCTCATGACACTCCTGTCTTGAATAAGTACTAAACCTTGTCACTGTGCGTTGCTAGCTGAAAGCTCTTCATTTGACTCCATTGTTAATTGCATTAGTGAATGTCCTCTTTAAAATTGAATGTAGTGATTGATGAATAATTTGCTAATACAATCTTACCATTTGAAGATATGTGCTTGTGAAAGGTGGGGATATGCCAGATTCATCAGATGCAATTGATGTATTATTTGATGGTATATTTGAGTAATTTAATACTACTCTGTTCTGACAATTAACTTGTTTCATTCCACCCTTTTTAGCATCCTCATACAAATTCTGACCTATTTCATCAGGTAAGGAGTTCATTGAGCTTCGTGGTTTGCGTATAAAGACCCGTAACACACATGGAACCGGTTGCACGTTAGCTTCATGTATTGCTGCTGAATTAGCAAAAGGTGCAACAATGCTGCATGCTGTTCAGGTTAGGCTGCAAGTACTAACATTTAAGATGCCACACACTGATACCTGATACTAATAATTAAAAACAATTGAGGCAAATTATCTCCTGTAGTGTTATTTATCACTAGGAAAAATAATTCTTTGGCAATGAACAGGACATAGATTGAAACTTTTTTCTTATCAGGTTCATATTTACTTGGATTTGTTTGGTGCTACAAAACTTGCTAAGTAAATTGTCCCCTGTAATGGGGTGACTCTTTAGTACAAAGGTCTGGAGAATTGGCATGTGCTGGTGCTAATTTGTTTTCTGTTAGATGAGATATTGCAAGGCACATTTACTGCAAAGAATCAACTAGGCTGTTTCGAGCTGTGACTCTTGTTCAAATCATGTCCATCATCAGATCCTTGGTTGTTTTTTCTTTTCTTAAATACCTATCTGTTTCAAATTACTAGACATTTTGGTAGGCTAAAATAGGTTAGCAAAATGTCCAATAAATTGGAACATAGGTAGTACCTTACTTGGTTGCTTAATTCAGTTCCTAGTGGTTTGGAACCTTGATTAGCAGTTTGGCACTATATGAAGGTTGACTGTTCATAATAGTAAGATTTTTCAGTGTTTTTTATGTATCTTTTCAGGTTTTCTGTTCATAATAGTAGTATCTTACATTATGTCTTATTTTCCATACATTATCTTGGCAGGTTGCAAAGAAATTTGTGGAATCTGCTCTTTATCACAGCAAAGATCTTGTGATTGGAAATGGACCTCAGGGCCCTTTTGACCACCTCTTCGAGCTCAAGTCTCCATTATACAAGATGGGATCACTGCAAAAGTTCAATCCAGATGACCTCTTCCTGTATGCAGTGACAGACTCTGGGATGAACAAGAAGTGGGGTCGTTCGATAAAAGATGCTGTGAAAGCTGCCATTGAAGGTGGCGCTACCATTGTCCAATTGAGGTTATCTTTCTTGAAAACGACCAAAGTTCCTTTTGTTCATTCAGTCTCTTCATTTGATTTCACTGACCGTCCTTTGAACTTCTAATGTTCAGAGAAAAAGACACCGAGACACGGGAGTTCTTGGAAGCTGCCAAGGCTTGTGTGGAAATCTGCAAGTCTAGTGGAGTGCCGCTACTGATCAATGACCGCATAGATGTCGCTCTGGCATGCAACGCAGATGGCGTCCATGTTGGTCAATCAGACATGCCAGCATGGGAAGTACGAGAACTCCTAGGACCTGGAAAAATCATTGGCGTCTCATGTAAAACCCCGGCCCAGGCCGAGCAGGCATGGAAGGATGGTGCAAATTACATCGGCTGTGGCGGTGTCTTCCCAACCTCAACGAAGGAGAACAATCCCACCTTAGGGTTTGAGGGCTTGAAGACCGTCTGCTTGGCTTCGAAGCTACCTGTGGTGGCCATCGGCGGCATCAATGCTGGAAATGCAGGTTCGGTAATGGAGCTTGGGTTCCCAAATCTGAAAGGTGTGGCCGTGGTCTCTGCTCTGTTTGACCGGGAATGTGTCGTGACTGAGACAAGAAACCTCAGATCCATCCTGAAGAATGCTTGCTCCAGATCTTAGCGCAAGTTGGCACTTGGCTCCTGTTCATTTAATTTCTTTGTTTAGGCCGAAATAGGTTTCTAATCAAGCTTTCACCATTCACTTTGTCAAAAGGGGAAAAAAGGTGTTGCAATTTTCAATAATTCAGAGACATTTACTTGAAAAAAATAATTTTGTGACACCCTGAACAAGAAGTTAAAGACATTTCAAAGGCGCTGAATTGTAATAAGAAATTAATAATGCATCGGAACTATATTTGATGCAAGTACTAAACTTTTTTTTACTGCAGCAGTTTGGTAAATAGTACTCATGTTGTTTCAAATTATAAGATGTTTTTGCTTTTCTAGATACATTACTTTTACTATATACCTAGATAGTGTATATCTAAGTGCATAATAAAAGCTATTTATGTAGAAAAGACAAAAGGTTTTATAATTTGAAAAGGAGGGAGTAGGTGTTATTTGAAGTATGATTAGCTATATGCCTATATATCTCTTCCTGAATCTATCCAATGAAGTGTGAAAATTTGCTCTCATTGTGCTTGATGATTTTTTTTTATGTAAGTGGCATTCATTAAAATTAACAGCGCGACAGTAGATTACAATCATCCCATTTGAGATGGGATAGAGCCACTTTGACAGGGCAGAGAGGTAGCTCCTGTGCTGAGCAGCAGTACAGGAGAAGACTTGTAGCAACAGTGGAATTAAAGGCCTGATAAGCTAAAGACTGACCTGCAGCCTGTAGTGTTCATTGATCTTGGTATCTTGTGCACCTGAAAATGGGAGTATGTAGTGTTCATTGATCTTGGTATCTTGTTCACCTGGAAATGGGAAGTCTGAAAATGGAAATCTTGCATGGCCATCAGTAGTGTAGCATTTCTTTTGATGTTCCAATGAGGGGTGTTGGAGAGATATTGTGCTTCATTGATTAAAAAAAATAGAAAAGAAGGATACGTGCCATTAGGCCACTACACTAGCTAGATCTGGCAATAAGCGCCGACTTGATTAAATGCAGAAAAAATCTTGCTTTTCTCAGCGACCATTTGAGATTGAGATTTGACCACACCAAAAGATCCATCTCGCAACCAGCTCCGACACCGGCCAGCGAAGTTCCATCTCGCAATCAGTTCCGACGCCGGCCAGCCAGGATGAACGACCTCATGACCGACTCCTTCGTCGCCGCCGCGGCCGCCCCCGCCGGCGGCGGCGACGACCCGGAGCTCGGCGCGTTCCTGGCCGAGGCGGACGCGGCAAAGACCGAGATGGCCGCGCTGCGCGACGAGCTGTCCCACCTCCGATCCGCGCACGAGGCGTCCAAGAACGCCGTGGCGGGCGCCGGCGAGGCGCGCGCCGCCACGCAGGCGGCGCTCGTCCGCCTCCTCGGTTCCGCGCGGCGCCTCCGCGCGCGCCTCGCCTCCATGGACCGGCGCGCCCCGGCCCCCGCGGCGCAGGCCGCGGCGGGTCTCAGCCGCCGCGTGCGCGACCTCACAGCGGACGTGCAGGCGCTCCGGCGGCAGGTCTCCGTGGAGCGCCGGAGCGACGCGGCCCGCCGGTACCTTGCCGTGGCCGGGGACGCGCCGACCGAGGAGCAGCTGGACCGCCTCCTGGCCAGCAGCACCGACGACGGTTCTGTTTCCTCCGACGCGGCGATGCGAGCGGCGCTGCTGTCTGCCGCAGGCTCGGAGCAGGATGAGGCCGCGAAGGAGGTGGCGGAGGTGGAGCGCGGCCTCGTGGAGCTCCAGCAGCTGTTCCTGGACATGGCCGCGCTCGTGGAGGCCCAGGGCGCGCCGCTGGACGACATCGAGCGGCAGGTTGGCGCGGCGGCCGGCGACGTGGCTGCGGCCGAGGCGGAGCTAACCGAGGCCCGCCGGCTGCGGGGCGCGGCGCGGCGGAGGCGCGTTTGCCTGGCCGGCGGAATCGCGGCGCTGCTGCTCGTCGGCATTGCCGTCGCCGTCGTGGTGGCCCTCGTGCTGGTGCGCAGGGGCGGCGGCGGGAAGCTTGTGCTGCAGCTCGCCGCGGCCTTGCCCGCGCGGTGAAAATTGATTTGGCTTGGGATGCCGCGGTTTTCTGGTGTGGTTATTGTTGATGCTTGTCAGTTGTGGACGGCAGTGTTTGTTTTTGGTTGATGTGGAGATCGGATGAAATGAAACTTCCTTTCGTTCAAAAATAGATTTTGAATGAACCTTTTGGAGATTGCAAAAATAAAAAAGGAGACAAAATAATGGAGATGCGGGGGATCGAACCCCGTGCCTCTCGCATGCAAAGCGAGCGCTCTACCATTTGAGCTACATCCCCTTTTATGTTCAACTCAAGCACAAAACATATATATTTTAATTTTATACCCCTTTTTTTGGTTTAACTCAAGCACAAATATTATACGTACTTGATTTTGTACAGGAGATTAGCTGAAACTGCCCTCTCATCAGTACGACAAAGTGGTGTGGTTCATAACTATGCTAACGCATAAGTTGGTAGTTGGTGGGTATCATAATGGATCCTGTCAAATTACCCAACGTTATGCCCATCTTCCATACACTTTATTAATCATTTCTTTTGAGTTGGCACTAGATCGGACGAGTATTACTTCATTTATATATACTTTTTGTGTCGCAGGTCACAATGAAAAGTAATAGTCCTCCCCTATCCGAAATCAAAATTGATGGATATCATAAATAATCATGTCAAAAGGGGTAAAACAAGTTGCCCTCACTTTGTATGCATCGCTATAGCGTTTTCAACAGCATATCGATAAGAATTTTGCATATTTCCCCGCTATCGCAACTAAGGCTGCTATAGTGAGCGCAGCTAAATAGGATAGCGTTACTGCCTCTATAGCGGTTTTAGTGATGATGAAGATCTATGAAGAGAATGAGTTGAGAATAATTGAGTCTCAAACTTTTACTTGTCTCTTATGAGCCACATTTGCACTAGCTTGTAGGGTGTGTGGAACTTTCTGTTTGTGTTTGTGATTGGGCTTTGGACCTTTGTTGCACTTTGTATTTTGCTATGAGCTTGTAACCTATGATGTCTCTCTTAATGTAAAATAATGTGAGCATGTAATATACGATGATCTTATGCGGTGCCGGATCTAGAAGATTAAGTTAGGAGAGGCTTCTCTTATTATCTTCTACCTCTAGCTCCTTTTCAAGCTTCTATGGGTACCAATTTATAGCTCCTTTTAATCCAAACACTTCAAGCTCCACACAGATCCACCGTACAACAGTTCCACGAATTCTATGGATCTACACCCATGAAGGGACCATGCCGTCTAAGAGCGGGGTTGAATTAGACAACTTAAAAACCATTTCTAAAACTATGACATCTAATTTCTTAAAAACCATTTCTAAAACTATGACATATAATTTCCACCTAGTCAAAACCTGTGCAACAAATAATCTATCTAGATACGCAACCAAGATTTTGCTATAGGTATGTTGCTATCTCTACCATAAAAGAGTTGTGCAACATAGGTTCTGTCGACGAAATACGTCCGGTAGTCTACCGAGGGGTATGCCCATGGTAGTAGATGAATCGGTGGAGGTGCGCGTGAGGGAGCCGGATGGTGACACAGAACGCGAGAGACAGCGATCAGACAAGTTCGGGCCATCGACTTGACGTAATACCCTACGTCTTATGTCTTTGTGGATTGTATTGCTTATGATTTGATGAAAACAAGGGAGGTCCCTACCCACCTTATATAGCTCGGGTGGTAGGGTTACAGATCGATTGTTTCTATCCTGATCGGTTATTTCTATCCTGATCAGTTTTGCAAGATAAGAAGTTACAGATATCTCGAGATCTATTGTATCCGAGCAGATGTCCTAGATCGCCGGAGATCCTCATGCAGTCTTGTGAAGCACGCTAACCGGTATCGTGCCTTGTACAACACGGTCCTATGAGCTAGGCCTCCACTAATGGCGTGACCCAGGCACAGTCTTGTGGGCTGGGCCATCTTTGATGGTGCGTCCCATGTCTTGTCCTGTGGGTACCGGGGGTCATACCCCACAGCTAGTCCCCGAGCGCCTTTTATCCACTGAGCAACGTCGTCTTGAGCTTATCCGAGCTATCCAACTTACTGTTGATCATCAGGAACAGGTGTCCAACCAGTTTAACTAGGAGCTGAACTGTTGAAGCGAGTATCCGAGCAGTTGAACAGGCGTTCAAGCAGTTGAACTGTCATCCAAGCTGTTGTTCGAGCAGTGGGAACAGCATCCGAGCAGTTCAACTGTGAGGAAGCCCATACTTACTCGAAGCTGAGGTTTGCCAGAAGGATGTAAGGGGCTCATGAAAAAAAAATTGAAGTCTCCATCTTGGATGAAGTGTGCCCACTTAGGTTTCGGGCATCGAAGTTAGACGCCTAGTGTCGGTGCAGAAAGTGACCAACACGTAAATATTTATAGTTTTGTCATACGTTGTGATAGGATGGGGCCTAGCACTCAATGACACAGGGTTTATACTGGTTCAGGCAACGTGCCCTATGTCCAGTTTGAGTCGGTCGGTGACTTTATTCCTGAGCCCAGGTGCTCAAAGTTTGTTGTGTGGTTATAAACGGAAGGGAGAAAGATGGGGGTGCAAGAGGTCCGGTCAGACTCCGGACCGAAGGGCCAAGAGCGACGGGAGCTCCTACATGTGCTAAGTATTCGAGCGAGTGCTCTATATAGCTTTACAGTGTCTAAAGCTAGCAGAGGGTGAATCGATCATTGGGTGTGTGTAAAACTGATGGATCTCCTTGTTGGGAGAGAGCGCATCCCCTTTTATAGATGAAGGAGACGACCTTACAAGAGAGAGAGAGTACATATGTTACTAAGTCTTGTTGATCATCAGGAACAGGTGCCTCAAATCACGGTGACCTCGGCTCTGATACCACTTGTAAGGTCCTAATGGCTAGAGGGGGGGTGAATAGCCTAATAAAAATTTCTACAACAACACTTAACAAAATGGTTAGACAATTATGAGGCGAAGCAAGTGTTATGCTAGCCTACTCAAAATGCAACCCACCTACCACAAATTTAGTTTAGATAG